TATTGAACCTAAATTAAATTATAAGAAAAGAATTGAATTAAAAAGTTATACAAAAACCATGAATTTTAAAATAGTTAATTTGATATTAATATCGATATATTTTTGTCAAATTTTTATGATATCTTCAAATTTATATTTTATTAAAAAATAAAAACATCATCGTTTTTTCAAAATCACATAAGACCATACTATAATATCGACTGAAATAAAGAATAAAATGAAATATTAAAATCAAAATTATTTCATACATTGCACGAGTATCATTCTAGTTAAATAATGGATTTATTAGGCACAATAAAAATCAACTCCGACTACAAACTAAAAAAATATTAAAAATTGTCTTTAATATTTTTATAATAATAAATATCTTAATGCATCAAACTTTTAATCCATATATAAACTTAATATTATATTAATATATATTTTTAGATGTCTAATTTATTGACCTCCAAATATAGAGGCCGGTGTTTTTTACCTCTATTTTTTAGTATAATACTGTTAAGTTGGATGTAAAAACACCTTCATTTTTATGTTTTTAATGTTGGATGAAGATGGTCTAAGGTGCTGTTTACCAAATGCTTACCTAGGTAAGCGCTTACCAAATCACTTTACTTTACCGAATGAATATAACAAGGGCTAATAATCTTACCCAGTAAGAGCGAATGCAAGAATCGGGAGTGTTACCTGGTAAGTGAGGACGAGGACTCTTACCACAATTAGCGCTTACCGGAATAAATTGTTGCATACAATGCGTTTTAGTGAATAAAATCTTACCCGATAAATAAGCGATAGTGTTGAATTTTGCCGGTAAGTGCTTACCGAGTAAGTGTTTAGGTAAACGGCCCCTAAGTTATATTATCATGTTACATGTTTTAAATTTCGTTAACGATAGAAGCATGATTCATATGTGAAAGCATGAACTTTTGATGCGTTACACATTAAATGTTACATGTACTTGTGGGTCATATGTGAAAATATCAGTATCAAACGCACTAAAACGTAATGATGCATATACCGATATATCTTTTGAAATGCCCCTATATTAAATCGAAAGATGTACAAATTTATACTTATAATATATAAGTAACTTGGGTGACACGTGTCATCTTTTGGTGAGTCGGTTTTATTGTTTTCCCGCCTAAACACGTATCTAGACACAATTTACATTAGTGATTTATTTAGACTTATTTGAATGTATCTAGACACAATTTACATTAACAGTTTAATTATACATATTTGATTGACACAATACTAAAAAATGTGGTTTTCCCGACGGCAAAATCCATCGGAAAAACAACTTTCTGACGGATATTGCAGTCGGAAAACTCCCCGCCGCTAAATGCAAATTCCGTCGAAAATCCGTTGGTAATGTTCAAAGAAAAAAAATTATTTATATGTTTTTCCTTCCAAAAATATATATTTAAAAAGTTCAAAATTTACGACCGATAAAATTTTTTTAAAAAGTTATATTCCGACACAAAAGAGTTATATTCCTTCGGAAATCCGTCGGAATTAATTTAAAAATAATTTATTTTTTTTATAAAACATATATTTTTTTTAAATAAATTCCGACGGAATATAACTTTTTATTAGAAAATTACAATCCATCAAAAAACAGTCGGAAATATTTTTTTAAACATATTTTTTTGGAAGGGAAAAGAATAAAAAAAAAGTTTTCTTAAACATTTCCGACGGAGTATAATTAAATATAAAAATCAATTAAAATCCGTTGAAAATTTTAATTAATTAACGCCAATTAGTTTATTTAAATAAATTAGACCAATTTTGTGACGAATTTCCGACGGATTTGTGACAATATTAAATAAGTAAAAGAATATGTTACAAATCCGTCGAAAAACCGTCGAGAAAGTTGTAGAAATAAAATTTTATTTGAAAAAAAAAATCATTGTCGGATATGTGGGGGATTTGTGTCGGACGTCGACAAAAGTTGACTTTTCTTGACTATACAGAGTTTTGAAGTCTGAAGAGTTTTACTTCAGAGTTATTTCAAGAGTACAAGTCTGAAGAGTCGTTATAAATTTACTTCTAAGTTTAAATTTAATTTACTGATATAGTTTCATTTCTAAATTTTATTTTATTCTAGGGTTAACTTCATTTTAACTAATTATTGATATAGTTTCATTTCTAAATTCAATTATTCAGAGTTATTTCAAGAGTACAAGTTTGAAGTAGCATCGTACTTTCGATAATCATTAATATTTGTAAGATAAGTTTCTGACATGATTTAATTTTTTTAAATTACCTCATGCAATATACAGGGATCGAACCTAGTTAATATATATATATATATATATATACACTATATTATAAAGCATTTGACAAAAACTCTTAAAAACACTTTTTTATGCATGACGTACTGTTTATTGATTCATATTACTTAAAATTCAATAGTACAAGTAATTGTGCGTAAGTACAACTTATTAAAACTTTATTTTTGAATTCGTGAAACTAACTACAGATAAACATAATTAAATACATGATAAACATCTCATTTTTAATATAAAAAATTAAAATATAATTAGGATAATCATTGAGTTTTAACAGAATACTTAATTATCATCCTTATAAAAATTATATTATTAATAAAAAATAAATTACTTTGTTATTAAATCTAAATTAAATTTATAATAAAAAATTGAATTAAATAAATTACACAAAAAATGAGAACTTTTAAATAGTTAATTTAACACTAATATCGATACTTTCTTTTTCAAATTTATACTTTGTTTAAAAATAAAAATATTATCGTTTTCTAAAACCACGTAAAACAGTATTATATCGACAGAGAAATAAATAAAATGAAAAATTAAAATCTAGATATATTTTGTTGTATTGTGCGAGTACCCTTTTAGTGTGTATATATATATATATATATATATATATATATATATTTATTTATTTGATAATGTTGTTTTACTTGGTGATTGATGTTATAACTGATGTCTAGCCCACATGATACTCGATGTTCAGACCTCATAATGTTTGTTTTGGGTTATAAAAAAATTGTTGTTTAATTTTTACGTCTAATTTGAGATGCAACATTTATTACGCATTACGTATGTAGAAAATAAATATATGTATAGGTAAATAATGTTAAGTTGTTTGATAAATATTTAAAATGGCACAAATATGTTAAACATGAATTGCATTAAATATACGTGCATTTATCTGACAAGATAAAAAAAGAATGGTTTAAAAGATTCAAAAACAATATATTTAAATATGTACAAGTGAACCAACGATGCAAATTATTCATATGAGTTCACTTATGCATATTCATATGGATTTATTTTTTTTCGATAATTCATATATAAATATTTCATTCTTACAATATTAATATTTTTATTTAAACCTCCCACCAGTGTATTATTTCATTATATAAATATGTAAGATAATTTAAATATTATTTGACCAGGTAACATGTAACAATAACAAACAAATAAATTGTTGGAACTTGGCTTGTATATGAGAAACCTTGTCTCATATGGATTTTCAATAAATTATTTTAATATAAATATATATATATACAAAAGACTCATGGTATCCAACACGAAGAAATCTATTGACCATTTTGCCCCTTAAAAAGGTCATTTTCAAGCAACCTAACAAACGTGAGCCACTCTTTTGGGTAAACTAAACCCGGTTCAAATTACGTAAGACAAGAGTTAACCAGTTTCTTGAATGCCCACACTTTGCTTCTTTTAAGGGCTACTTTCGTAAATTCACTCCCATAAATATATTATTATATATATAAATATAATGAATTTAATTAACATCATCATATCGATATCTACAGAAAAGAAACGTAAACTCCATTGGTTACAAACACAGATAACAATGGAGGTTTCCTCTTCCTTCTTACCTGGAATTTTCTTTGCTTTTCCAGAAGGATTTCTTCCCAATCCCTAACCCTCTCAAAACCTCCATTGTTTCTCACTGTTGCTTAACTTGAACCACAAGTTAATCAACCACCTCCCCCATGCACTTTCATTTCTATCTCTATATATATCTATATATGTAAATCTATATATATATAACCAACCCATGCAGTTCATCTTTCAATCACAATCACAAATCATAACCCATAAGTTAGATCTATTATATACATGAAGCAAGAAATGGCGAACGAGATTGTGTTCTTTGATTTGGAAACAAACGTGCCAAGAAAAGCTGGCCAAAAATTCTGGGTGTTGGAGTTTGGAGCGATGGTGGTTTGCCCACGAAAGCTAGTCGAGCTCGAGAGTTATTGCACGTTGATTCGACCCGGGGACTTGACTGCGGTCGGGGTGAAATCGGGGAGGGTTCATGGGATCACACGAGGAGCGGTCTTGGAAGCTCCCTCTTTCGAAGAAGTTGCTGATAAGATATTCGGGATTTTGAACGGTCGGATTTGGGCTGGGCATAATATTCGACGATTCGATTGTGTTAGGATTCGAGAAGCGTTTAAGGAGATCGATCGGCCAGCACCGGAGCCCGTCGGGTTGATTGATTCTTTAGGGGTTTTGACGGAGAAATTTGGAAGACGAGCTGGTAATATGAAGATGGCTTCGTTGGCTACTTATTTTGGGCTCGGTGAACAAAAACACAGGTTTGTATATTACTACAAATATGATAAATTATTTTATAATATATGTTTTTTTATTAACCCGGATATCCAACCTACTTTGCGAGCCGACTAATCCCATGACAATCACCTGCTTTGTGGGTAGTCCAGAGTCACCGCATTTGAACCTCCATGGCCATAAGGGAATTTTTGTTCCTCCTTCGATTTGAACCTGAGACCTCCTGGCACTTTTGACCCAAAGCTCAAACCAATCAGGCACCACCCTTCAAAAAATTATGCGTTCTATATTAAAATTTGTTACATTATGATGTTGTGACGTATAATCATAACATTTTTATAAGATAATTATGAAATAAAGTGTCCGATTCGTTTTTTATACCAACACTTTTATACACAGGAGTCTTGACGATGTTCGAATGAATCTTGAAGTTCTCAAGCATTGTGCGACCGTGTTGTTCCTGGTAACGAATTTAAATGCATAAATTCTACGTATGTATGCATAAATTTAAATTTCCGTGTCGATTGATGTTTTCTCCATGATATAAATCAAGGAATCATCCCTCCCGAACGTCCTCGAGGATCAATGGCAACACGACTTATCTCCGAGCATCACGACCCGGAGTAAAAGCAATATGTCGGTATGTTAATTTCTTCGTTAAGCAGTTGCTGAATGGTTTTGTGTAGAATCATTAAGTGGTCATAATGATTAAGAGTCTCTCATGATATAGTGCAAAATGAAATATAATTGTTTGGTAATTGTTTACGATGAAATTATGGCTCTTAATGGTTAAGGGAGACCCAAGATACAAAATCATTCAGAGAGTTTTAGAACCATTAAGAGACAGACTTTTTTTTTTGCCAAACAAGATTCACTTCTTAACGATTCAAAGATTGTCTCTTAATGGAACTATTAAGAGGTAAACAAAACAACCCCTAAAACAATTTTGTCCTTGCAACAAATTGGTATTACATATGGAACGTTAAATATGTATTGCTTTATAGAACGTACGTTTATAAGACATATTTGACGTCTTATAAAATCGATTTTTGTTACAACGATATTAATTATATATCTGATGATCGATTAAGGAATCGAGCTCAATGAACAGACAATGGCATCAAAAGGCAACGCCAATGATGACGACAAGGAGCAAGAGCAAACCCTACGGTGAAGAAATTAGCCGCAAATCGCCTTCTTCGGTTCTCACTCATCACCGAGTCGTTCCATATCCAACCGGAAGCCTAAGACAGGTTTGGTATCTAACGATATATCATGAAATGCAAATATTATCCGTTTCTCAGATCGTTTGAATGATGGAAGATTCACCACTTTTTGATTTCTTCTCATCATTTTCCATTGATGGTTGCTGAAAACAGATGACAGAAAAGGTGAAGATCATGCTGCGAAATGCACGAAACACGCCATTGAATAATCTTATCAAGCATTCTCATACGTTGCTCAGATGAAACGAAAGAGGATTAAAAGCTGGTTAATTGGTTAAGTTTGAATGGGATTTTGTTCGAGATTTAGCCATGGATTAACTGAAGCTTGCAACTATATATATATATATATATATATATATATTGCAATGGAGATGGAAAGGTGATTGCAGCAGAAATGGAAATGCAAGTAACAGGAAGCATGAAGAAGGTGTAGCATAGATTTATTGAAATTCTTTGATTTAATTTTTTCTAATTGTGTATATAAATTAACCATTTAATTTATATAAAGCATGTAAATTACATGCATGTATTCATTTGATTATTTAAAAGAAATAAATTTAAGATTAATGGGTTGTTACATGGTATATTTCAATATAATTATCTTTAATTAATTTTCTCCTTCGACTCCTCAAGTGCCTCAATACTGTAGTATACACGAGCCTTAATACTAGCTTTTGAAAATCCCGGAGGAAATAGTTGCTTCCATGAACGGACCTAGAGTAGAGCATACAGTGGCACGTGTCACCGTATTATTCCTTCGTCAAAGGATAAAAAATTTATGTTCGTGAAAGATGCAACCGTATTAATTTGTTGTGTGCCACCATATGTATTTTATAACTACTATGAGAACAAGTTTTATTTGGTAGAGTTGGTTTGCAAGGCTTTTATTCCGCCTCAGACCCAAATTCGAATCCTATTAATGTCATTTTCTTAGTCAAATGGTGTCATCGTTTGAAAAAAAATTCTGTACATTTTTTTCTTATATGTCAAATGATGTCACTGTTTGAAAATTTTTCTCTATATTTTTTTCTTATAATCAAACGATGCCACCATTTGAAAAAAAAAATCTGGATCCGTTCTCCCTCTCTGAACTCTAAAATGATACTTCTTGTTTATATTTATTTAATGATCAAAACATAAATAGTATAAAATTTGGTGGTTAAAATATAAAAATCCAAATTTTGGTGGTCAAAACATAAAAGTTAACTTTTTAGTTAAAATTGGAAAAAATAAAAAATAAAAACAATAGTGGGGTGGGGGCTAGTAGGAGGAGTGGTGTCGGTGTTAGTATATAGCTAAAAGTCAATTGTATGGTCGTTGCATATATATAACTCCATAGGTGTAGACCTTCAAGTCATGAATTATATTAATAAAACGTATTATTACCCGATTATTATGTTTAAACGTAATAATAACCTTTTAACAATATATTTTAAAATATCAAAAATTAAATATTACTTTGGGATTAAATTAAACTAATACATTACAAGCTAGCATACTGCATATAACAAGGTTCGTACAAATATATGGTCACCGACAATGACTGTAACTAAACTAAAAGAAAAAATTAATTACAGCCCATAATTAAGTTTCGTTTTACATTCGGAAAAAGAATATGTCTTACCTTAAATAATACTTTGTAAATTCAAATTGAAAACGAATCGAATCTTCTTCTTATTATTGAGTTATATTCATTATTGCAAAGCTAAAATGTAATGATTAAAAACTTCTAATAATCATTAAACGGACATTCTATTTTGTCCTTATCGAAAACCGCATATATTTTTATCGAATCTCATAAAATGTTGATGTTGATTTTTTCTTCTTTTTCCACGTTATATGTGATCATGGTTTATTCGTATATATGTTTTCCTACCCCACCATTTTCCTATGCAAAGTCAAGTCATTTTGTTCAATTTATGGTATGTATTTTATTCCTGATCAAATTTCATGTCCATGGTACCTTTTTGTTAATGATCATATAATCAATTTGGTTAGGGTTGGCAACAGGGTAGGGTAGGGTAGGGTAAGGATTATTCTGTTATCCAATCAATTTAAAATAGCAGGTAAAGAAACGGGTAATTATCCATGTCATAGAACTCTTATTTATAACCATGCAGTACTAATTAAAATAACGGGTAACGAAATAAGTAATAAATAAATAGTAAAAAATCATTTTTAACTACAAATACTATTGTTAAACGTGAAACATAAGTAAAACATATGTTACTTGTTCTAGTAAACATTGTTATGTTATTTTAAATATAATTATAATATATTAATTTTAAAAATTATATTATTTAAAAAAAATTTAAAGAATTTTTTTTCGTTGTATTTATTTTCACAAACTCGTGTATTTCTCATTTAATGATCATGAACTCTTTTACTTGATAAACATAAAAAAATTAACTTAAATATTAACATACAACACGATTTTTCCAAGTCTGGACTCAAAGTCCAGATCTCTGAACTCAACGAGTTCAAAGTTAAGATTTAGGCAATGTAGGCCTCCTATCTGAACGATCAGATCTCTAAATCAACCTTACCAAGACTTATACTTAGTGAGATTTCACTAAGTTTGACTCTTCATAGATTCCAAAAACCTTGGGGCATTGCCTCTAGACCCTGCCCATTGACCGGTCAAGAGATCACCGCCAAGGGGGCTCTGCCCTTGGAACCCCGCTAGGGATAGAACCTCGCAAGGGGGACCTCCGCCTTATAACGATCTAATGTGATAAGGACAACATTGTGAGTGTACACTCTGCACCCCCTAACCCGCTTATGTTTGTCTCATCACCTTAATTAATATCGAGTGAATCCCAATCACACTAAAATCACCAACACACACACATACACACACACACACACACATATATATATATATATATATGTGTGTGTGTGTGTGTGTATGGGGACCTTCTTTAAAAACTTGATAATTTGTGGGAACTGTGAGGTTTTATTTAAGCCACTAAATGATATTAAATTAGTAAGTTATTAATTTTATAATTTGAACCGAAAAAATCAAATAAATGGTATTATGGGTATATAACTCTTCTCTCTCCTCCCTTTTCTCTCTCCCCTCTCTCTCTTTCACCTCTCCTTGTTCGTCCTCAACAAGTTCGACTTCGACCCCAATTTTTGTGAACACGTTGTGCACAATTTGCAAACGAGGGTTATGTGATGGAATAACAATGTGTATAGTGTGACATCACACATTGTGTACAGTGTGGACACCATCGTTGCTTAGTCGTTCCATTCACCAGATCTGATACTACTCGAATATGCACAGTGTGCACAGAATCAAATGCAGCAATTATGAACCTTAAATCAACTATTAAGAACACAATAAAAAAGCATCATCAACAATCTGATTCCTAATCTCAAACAATCCTCCAAAAACCACAACCACTAAGAACCTCTTCTTCTCATTATCAATCTTAGGAGATCTTCTCCAATACTTCAAACTGAAATCCATACAAGGCCTAAATCCTTCTCCATTCGTCCGTTGCCAGAACTCCGACTGAATTCCGTCCATTGAACAAGGCAGCAACGACACCATTGTAGAGGTGGAGAAACTTACGGGAGCATCGTTGTTATCACCAACTCTTAGATCTTGAAAAACATAGGCGATGATGCTAGAAAACAGAGGCAAGTATGAAGATCTTAGGAGGCGTGAAGAATAGGAATCTATCAAGGTTTTCAATTTATGGAAAAGAAAGAAAGATAGAGATGATAATGAATAAATATTTTAAATTGACGAGTTATCATCCATATTAAAAAGTTACAAAATTACCCATAGATTATTAATTAAAGAAATATAATTAATTAAACCCGGATTTTGTGCCTTTTTTTATTAACCTGAATATCCAACCCGCTATGCTAGCTGACTAATCCCAGGACGACCACCTGCTTTGCAGATAGCCCGAAGTCACCGCATTTTTTATTTTAGGAACACAACAAATATCAACACTGACAACTATTTCTAAATATGTACGTTTCTCTAAAAAAAAAGAATATATACGTTTAAATTTTGAATTTTAAAATATGCGTTTAAAATATGAATTAAATAAAATTACTTTTATTTTTTAGGATTCACCATTCATGATAACCATATTGTTTATAGATAATTATATAAATACCATCAAATTTGGTATGTATAAATTATTAAGCATTATTTTTCATTATAATTATATGAATTTTTTAAATAATAATATATTTAATGGCAAATTAGTACCAAAATATTCGAATAGTGTTAAGGTGTCGATGAATAGTAGAATATTTGTGAACACCTTTTTTTTTAAGATTCCCCTTTTTCCCCCAAAAAGACAATGGACTGGTTGGAAAAAAGATTATGCCGGATATTTCATATTAATTAAGTTAATATTTTTATTTTAGTTTTTCTAATTGTATATTTAAGTGAAAAAAAAAACTTTAATCAACTATATTTATTAATATATATATATACACTAGAAGGGTATTCGTACAATGCATCGAGACACATTTCCATTTCAATGTTCTATTTTATTTTTTATCCATGTCGATATAATATTATTTTATGTGGTTTTGAAAAAACGATAATATTTTTATTTTTGAAAATATCATACAAAATTTGCAAAAAATATATTAGTATAAAATTAATTATTTAAAAGTTTTTGTTTGTGTATTTTTTTTAATTCAAAATTTTTATTATAATTTAATTTAACGTAACGAAGTAACTTAATTTAAGTTTAATAATATTTTTCTTATAAAGATAATAATTAAGTATTATGTTAAAAATCAATAATTGTCCTAATTATATTTTAGATTTTTTATATTTTAAAATGAGATATTTATCTTTTATTTGATTATTTTTATCTGCAGTTAGTTACACGAATTCAAATACAGAGCTTTAATAAATTGTACTTATGCATAATTTACTTGTAATTTTGAATTTTAACTAAAATGCATGAATAAACAGTATTTCATGCATAAAAAATGGTTTTTAAGAGTTTTTGTCAAATAATTTATAATATAGTGTATATATATATATATATATATATATATATATATATATTGAAAAACAACAGGAACAAATATATTAAAAGCTAAAACAAGTACAACGAGAAACTAATTGAGACTGCAAGGTGCAGTAGGCTATAAAATATCAAAAACAAAAATCAAGGAAAGAAATACTTAAAGCTCACAAGGGGCCACGAAGACCCTATAAAAGCCTAGATGTAAAGCCCCATACCTAAAATGAGCATCTTGAAAAAGATTAATGATAAGGGATTTCGATGAAAGTGGGTTATCGGTCCACAATTCCCACGAAATGGAAGCCTTTCTAAGACGTCGTGACACCCATTTGAACACACGTAGTTGGATTTGGGTAAATGGAATCCCGGGAATGAGGCTTTTTCCTGAAAATATTGTTATTGCGCTTACTCAAATTAAATAGCAAACTGCCAAATTGAAGCCTACAAAATTTGCTTTTAGCCAAGGTGAGGAAATGTCATCATCTTGATATGACAAGATTTCTGATATCGAATTCACCCATTCTATTCTGATGCCCCACCATTGCCAAAAAACGACACCAGATTTATTTGGCAAATGCACAAGTTGTAAGAGAATGATGTTTCAGGTTTGTCTTCATAGATTGGACCGAAAAACTGTATCCAACTTAATGCTTATGTAGTCCAAGGCCACTCGAACCAGAAGTCGTCCATATAGTGTGCACCATACAAAGACATTAATCTTGATTGGAACAAGGTTATTCGAGTGGGTTGCTGGATTTGAATGCCACATTTATGGCAAATGCCTTCAACTAAAGCTTTCAATTTCTTGACCTCAAACCTCCTGTTTTCATCTCGGCTCCACCATCATTTATCTCTGCAATGAATAAGAGGTTGAAAACGTTGTAATAAAAAGAGTAGGTCCGAAATTTAAATGAGGTCCTCTTCAAACTCATACTACAATATATATATCACTGACTTATTGCAAAATATAAACCAAACAACAATAGTCCCTGAAGTGTGTAGACATCTACTTCGCTAACCTTCATCTTTGAGAAAAAGTGACGCATAGTCCCTCTACTTTCTGAGCTTTATCTTACTTGACAATCAACACCCTTATCTATCTAAACCTATCAAAACAAAGACAAAAAAGTCAAGATTGTTACCAACCAATATATTTGAACAGGTCCGACCCCTTGGTGTTCTCGACCAACCTCACACCCACTCCCAGAGATCTTTAACCCAAACACCTGTATCCCTCACCTTAACCTCCCGATCTCTTTCTAAATGAAACAACGTTGGGAATAAATCATACAACCAATAAGTTCCTACGCAAAAGGAAATGGAAGATCTGTCACCTAGCTTTTTAGTGACGGAGGCAGTGAAGTCTAAACCGAGATCGTCTAAATATTTGCTTAAGGAAAGGATTGAGCTCCAAGTGCCCCGACCCCTATTAACATACACATTATCTGTTTCCATACCCTCATTTGAAATATATCTGTTTAATTTCAAATATGCTATTTGATCTACATAAATAAAATAACTGAAATATTAACATTAAATTACTTTCCTCGATATCTTTATTAATCCAAAATTATCATTTATATTAATCGTTTTGATTATACTAAATGAAAATGACACAATCGATATTATGATTATGATATTATAAGAGCATGTACAACAGATTCTCTAAAATTTCTTCAAAATGTTGAAATCGAAATCAAACACTCTAATTTTTTTAACATTTAACTACAAGAGTGGTGCCTGATTGGTTTGAGCTTAGCTTCAAAGGTCAAAAGTACCAGAAGGTCACAGGTTCAAATCCAAGGAGAAATAAAAATCCCCTTGTGGCCACGGAGCTTCAAATGTGGTGACTCCGGGCTATCTGCAAAGTAGATGGTCGTCCTATGATTAGTCGTCTCGCATAACGGGTTGGATATTCAGGTTAATTAAAAAAATTTAACATTTAACTCTAAAAGTTTTTCATTTCAGAGATTACAAAATTAATTATATTATTAAAATATTTAATAGATTTAACATCACAATAAATTTTCAAATAAATGTGATGTAAAATGATAATACAGTCATTTGTTAACAAATTAAACAATATTAACTTTGTTAACTAATATTAGTCAACCAAATTCTTTATTTCCTTCATGCGATCAATAAAGTAATTACGAGTATTCTTGTATTTTTGTTTTATTTTATATTTTTGGTTTATTTTATTTTATTTTAGGCTGTTACAGATTAATCATAATCTAATCCTTATTTACATGTATTTCAGATATGGATTATTTTAGACGGTTACAAATTATTCATAATATAAAACCTATTTTTATGTATTTCAAATATGGACATATTTCAGTTATGAACATATAATTGAAATATTTCAAATATCAACATATTTCTTTTCTGAATATGTTTCAGTTATGAATATAACTCAGATATGAACATGTTTCAGTTTTGAATATAGTTCAATGCTTGGTTACCTTGTATTCAGATGTCCCGTCATCATTTCCTCCAAAATAAGGCATGTTATTCAAACCGAATCGATTTTCGACTATGAACCTAGATTACATATCCTCGAATAGACAGAGGCAACAAAATCATAATCGATATTATTCTTCAACAATGATGGAGAAATTTCAGGGACATGTAGCATTTGCCTAAATCAATGGGTTTATAAAGTTTACAATTTTACCCTTTTCACTTTTTTTTTTCCAGATTTCACGTATGCCCCAATTTATGAGATATTACAAAATTGCCACCAAACAATCTTGTCCGTTGATTAAACATATTAATGGTTGCGATTGGTTAATAAAGTTTATACTGATTCAAGTTTATTTGATATGTACTTGGAGTAATTTTTTACAAGCACATTACTTTTCTAAAGACTAAAGTCCAACAATAACTAGGATTAGGAAATAAGTAAACTTGAAGCAAACAAAATAACCGCTGACCTAAACTGAAGTAAACAAAATAACCGCTGACCTAACTGATCAAAACTAAATTAAACAGTAAACATAAACTAAGAATTTGGGTAAACCTAAATTAAACAAAATAACCCTACCCTGAATTAAACAAAATAAGGGGCCGTTTACCTAAACACTTACCCGGTAAGCACTTACCGGTAAAATTTAACATTATCGTTTACTTACCGAATAAGATTGTATTCACTAAAACGCATCGTAAGCAACAATTTATCCCGGTAAGCGCTAACCATGATAAGAGTCCTCGTCTTCACTTACCGGGTAAAACTCTCGATTCTTGCCTTCGCTCTTACTGGGTAAGATTTTTAAACCTTGCCATATTCATCCAGTAAAGTGAAATGACTTGGTAAGCGCTTACCCGGGTAAATATTTGGTAAACGAGACCTAAGTTAATAACCCTAATCTATACTAAACGGTAAACATAAAGTGACAAAACGAAATAAGTTAACAATTCTAATCTAAACTAAATGGTAAGTATAAAATAAATTAGAAATCAAAATTTAGAATTTCACCACATTAATCGAGAGCCAGAGATGATTTAGCCATCCATGAATAAAGCGACAGAGCCAGAGATGATTGATGAGTCAATATCAAACAAGTTCCAGGCCCTTTCAGATATGAGGCCGAGACTCAAGAGCTGAGTGGGAGCCAAGAGGTTTGCTCATGTCACAGGTTACTCAAGAACATAAATATGAGAGAGAGAGAGAGAGCGAGTTCCAGAGTTCGTGAATATGAGCTCGTCTAATACTTTGATTGAGTCCTTCTTGAATCTTGAAGCGAGGGCAAGCGAGGGAGAGGGAGATGAATAGATGAATGAATGCGATCGATACCCTTGTCCCTTGGGATGTATAAAGTAACAGTGATGTTTTTTAAGGCCCACAATGAACCTACCTATATAGAAACGGGCTTCAGAACGTAACGCCATTGGACTGTTTGCTGCCTTGGGCCATCGCCCCTCTAGCCTATCACCAGGGCCGACCCTGATTACTTCACAAAACTGATAATTTTCCCTTTCGTTTGAATGCACACAAAACCATAAACAATAGAAGCGAGAAGGGTCAGAGAATAAAATGAAGCATGAAACAAGAATGAAAATTCGAGTTATTGACTTCAAAATTGAGATTACATCCTGCAACATTATATGAATATAAAAATATTAAAAATAAATATGAAATATCAGATCATCTCCAACAAATTTTATAAAATGAAAGAAATGAAAATTTTAGGCAATTGTTTTTGCTCCAACAAAATTTCAGAACCTTTGTATACGATACTGTTTTAGGGGTTGTTTGAGATTGCTTATTTGAAACAACTTATGTTTTTCTACAAATGTATTTATCAACTTATTATAAGTTACCATGATTTAACTTTTTTCAAAACTCCTTATTACCGATTTATCATTGGTATAAATTATTTATACTTTATCCAAACATTCAAAAGTGCTTGTTATCGGAGTGTCCAAATTTATTATAATAAATATTTAGAATACAAATATCGGTGATATGTGTTTATAAAATGACACGAAGGTATCGTCATCATATTTTGTTGTAGAAAAGAAAATTGAAAAAGACGAGACGGAGATTTCCAGTTGGCCTACATTTCAACCCCAATCCCACCCCAAATCTTTCAAATTTTAGTAATAAAATATTCCAATTTAGTCAGAATTCTCCTGCCGTTGATGATCCCACTGTCTCTCGTTTCTCTCTCTATAATACAACCGGCACCAATACTACTCGCCGTCCATCACCGTCAACTGGAATACCGTACATCGTATGTTCATGAGCTTCGTACATGCTTCTATGGATACGCTTTGTTTTTATCTAGGGAGTATGTGTATGTATAATTTTGTTTGTTTTCATCCTCAATTTTGCAGTTGGGTTTTCAACTGTCGTCTCATGTTCAAGTTCGCCAGGCGAATCGGTGGAGTTTAGATTCGCCAGATCGCCGTCGTCGATTGGATTTTTTAAATTGAGTTTGTGATGGACTGAGGCTTGGAAGTGTGGGGTTTAGGTTTGCGGTTTTAGATTGATTAATTTTTTTTTTGGGAGGGGGGGTTTGGGGTAATGAGTGGTTATATTTGATTATTTGAGGATTGGAAGAACCGAGGAGGATATTGAGATGTCGAATTCGAAGGTGGTGTATGACGGGTGGATGGTGCGGTATGGGAGGAGGAAGATTGGGAGATCTTTTATACATATGAGATATTTTGTTCTTGAGTCCAGATTGCTTGCTTATTACAAAAGGAAGCCTCAGGATAATGTGGTAATTGTCAATTATGAAGTTCAATTTTGTATTAACTAGTGATTGCCTTTATGATTTGTGTTCGGTAGTAGCATTTCTACTAGATAGCAGCAACATCGAGTTTTGGTTGAAACTACGCTCGCAAGAGCAGATGCCATGAATTTTACTTTTTCTTTTTATGATTTTAGTTGGTGTATTTAATGTACTTTTTGCTTTCCATTAGGTTCCAATCAAGACTCTGGTTATCGATGGCAACTGTAGAGTTGAGGACAGAGGTTTAAAAACCCAACATGGGCATGTGAGTCTATTTTTATCAATTTTGTTGCTTGTTTTATAGTTCATGTGGTTGGGAACTTGAAAGAGTATGATCTGAATCCCTAATAATGCAACTCTTTAAACTGCCGGTTCATATAGAGGTGTAATATGTGAAGACAAAATCAAACTAACATTATATGAAGTCAACTACTGTCTACTGATATTCATGAATTTGGTTTCTGCTATCATATTACCAAACACTGGAATTTCTAGTCAACTAATGTCTTTTTAGTTCATTTTGTCATAAGTATTGGCTTTTGGTTGTTGTGTCTGAAAATCCACATTTTCAGAAAAGGCAAAAGTTGTTCCAAAAATGACTCGATGATCCAAAAGGCTTGAATCATGATCGGGAGTCCACATACTGAAATAGAAAGTCAACAGAACCAAAATGTTTCTGCAAAACTACCACCCACTGCCTACCATATATAGAAGGTACAGGCTGCATAAGATTACTCTGTTGTGATTAGAGGACAGAGGTTTGGCTAATGAAACTACTTTGCTTTGCAAGGGAAAGGCGCTTATAATACTTTCTTCCCCAACCCTCATGGAACTGAGTGAATCAAGAGTCCAAATTATGACATATCGTTAATAGAAATCCCAGTTACACCAGTTTTAACTTATTTACATGATCAATACAGATCAAACTATGATAAACGAATACCCTTACTCGAGGGACATTGGTGATCTTTGTCATCAAGGTGATGCATACAAAGAAAAAACACATCTGTATGCAGCACTTTTGCCCTTTCTTTAAATACATAGGATGTAGTTGGTATATATCTTCCCTTCTGAAGCTTCCTTATATTTGTAGTGTAAGGAGATCATGATCCATGGTTTTGTATGATCTTTTATTAATTGAACATGTAAAACTTTGTTTTCTGCTGTTGGCATATTGTGTTAATGTTATTCACGTATCTTTTGTAACAGATGGTATATGTTTTGTCAATTTACAACAAGAAGGAGAAATATCATCGGATTACGGTACTTGATCTGTATTTACCTTTCCATTTAAGTTTACGTTCTTGTGACTCAAGTTTCTTTTGCATATGTGTGGGATAGATGAAATAGCAAAAGTGTCCTCTTTTTCTTGTTGCTATTCTGTTTAAGTTTATCATCTCTTCGAAGAGTTAGTCTTTGTCACTTAACATGTGAAGAGATCTATAGTACATGCTTCTGCGTAGTCAACTATAGGCATTGGGTTTTCATGCCATCAAGATTTGTCATGCATCTTGTAAATGGATGTCACTGATAAAAGCTTTATTGCTAACTTAGCAGTGATGAGCACGGTAAATTAGGCTCCCTCTATTTGTGTGTGTTTTCCATCTTGTCTTAGTTGTGGAGATTCATGCTGTGGCTTTGTAGCTCAGAATTAAAGAATATGGTTCAATTGTGAGATGGTGGACGATCATTTTATGCAACTAAATTTACGTTCTTCACCGGATTGGTTGGGTGACCTGATTTTCAGCACAATCTAGCATCGGCTGATCAACCCTTGTCTTTGGTTGGGGGTGTGAGGTGTCATTTGTGAATGTGTGCTATACATGTGCAATACTAGTTGGCATCCTGTATCAATCCATAGCGTTTGATGTCACTGTGTTCCTCATCACTCTTCTTCTGTATCGACCTCCAGAGATCTGATTTAAGATCTTGCTCATTCTTTTCCTCTTTGTAATGCAGCAGAGACCATGCATTAGGGTCTTGATCCTATCCAAATCAATGAACATGTCCTTCGCTGGTTATGTTTTTTTTCTGATGAACATGGGTGGGATTTGTGAAATCAAGTGGTTTTGACTCTACATGATTAGGATAGAGACTAATCTGAGTGATTAAAAATCATGCTATTGATATTTGTGTCAGAGTTCTTCGATAAGTTTTTAGTATTTCTATGTGGTGTGCTTAACGTGCTTCAGATTTGAGGCTTCTAAAAATAAAACACGAAGTTCTAGGACTTGATATTCAGTGACAAGTCAGACATAATATAGATTTCACAGACCAATGACTCATATTTAGATGCTATAACATCTCTGGTCTTTGTTTTTATTTTTAGTTTCTATCTTCTCTTGAATAATGGCATATGCCTTTGGTATTCTGTTGGTTGTGGAGTAGTTGTACTATTATAGGATGCAACTCAATTTTCTCTGTGTTTGGAGTTATGTAAAAACTGTAGTTCCTGTTTTAGATGGCAGCTTTCAACATCCAGGAGGCACTTATCTGGAAAGAAAAAATTGAGTCTGTTATTGATCAGGTATCTTTTTTGCAAACTGATATTGATGGTAGCACTTGATGTTTGCTCATCTTTTGCCAGATATTTGTTATTTTTTACCCATGTTCTTGTAAAAGTCAATGACTTCTAAATAATTTGCAGCATCAGGAGTCACTAGTTGCTAATGGGAATAAATACCATTCTTTTGAATATAAGTCTGGGATGGATAGTGGAAGGAATGCTTCCTCATCAGATCAGGAAAGCCAGTAAGTAAAATTCATTCGAGGTTTGCACTTTTTTGGACTGTTCATGCTTCAGTTCAATGAACATCATAGGCTTTAGCTTAATTTTACATCAAGAGGGTTTCATGTATAAGAATTTGATCACGAGGATAAAATAGATTCAATTTTTCTGTTGGGACCAAACTATATTTGAGGTTTGGCTGTGGACTTGTCTTGCTAGCCGTGCCCCTACTTATTACCTTTCCTATTTTCTGGTTCTCTCAATTATTTTACGTGAGTGCTTCTTCGGGTATAGGTACAGTGCAGCTGAAGATGAAGAAGATTCCCGTCCAAGTTTGATGCGTAGAACAACCATTGGGAATGGTAATTGGTTTTCTTCCAATTTTAGTTGTATGTTGGTTATCTTTTGCCTGTTTGCCACCTTTATTAGTCATTTTATTGGTAGGCCCTCCTGAATCTATATTGGATTGGACCCAAGAAAGTTCAACATTGGCAAGCCAGAATACCAACAATCAGGCATTTTCAAGGAAACACTGGCGGCTTCTTCAATGCCAAAATGGTACTTTATTTCACTATTTTTCACAGGGATCACATGTTGTAGGAATCCATATGAGAAGAATTAGGCTTATTACTGGTTGTAATGGCTAATCTAGATCATTGATTATTTCTGTTATTTAAATTTCCATGCAGGACTTCGTATCTTTGAAGAGCTTCTCGAAGTTGATTTTCTTGTAAGAGATATTTTCTCATTTATACCAGTACTTGTAGCATAATCTAATATTTACATAATTATCAGCATAGGCATTTACATGTATTCTTGTCAATGCAGCCAAAGAGCTGTAGTAGGGCTATGAAGGCTGTCGGTGTTGTGGAAGCCAGCTGTGAAGAAATATTTGAGCTTGTAATGAGCATGGATGGGACACGATCAGAGTAAGGATTCGTTTGTGTTTCAATATTTCTAAATGCTTATTTCTAATTTTCTTTTCATACTCAAGTTTGTATCACAAATGATATGATACTAGTGCCCCTGATACTTCGTAGAATACAAGCCAAGCTATGCAACTGTCTTTGTACTGATGCCGTTTGATTTGGCCTGCAGGTTTGATTTGGCCTTTAGGTTTGATAAGAACGCAAACCAAACTCTAATATTATTTATGAATGAAAGAAAATGATAAAGATAGTGCCGACAATTCGAGAAGTTGGTGATCTCCCAAGACCAAACTCAATTTTTCCTCCCCAAAAACCTTAACCTAATACTCAAGATTCCTAAAGCTACCATAGTTCAACTAGCTTCTAGAAGATATCCTAATAATAAAATAAAATAATAAAAGGCATCCTAATAATAAATGGGCACAACTAATTAATATTAACTACTAAGCCTTTCAAAGTCCCACAAATCACCCCACACCCCCTTGAGATCGACGCTTGTATATTCCATGAAAACACCGTCATATCTGGGTTATGGCCAGAATGACTCGCTAAGGTACCATGATCACAGTTACAGCTTTTCAAGTAACAGGATATAGGGAACACAGAGCACCTGAAGAACCTATATATCTTGTGTAATTAGAAATAAGAAAATTTGAGAGAAGGATCTTTTTCTTGGTTAAATATGTAGGGGTTGTAACCATCAGCAACTTTGGTTTAATAACTTATTTTCTTAGAAATCTTAAAAGTAATAAGAGATCTAGAGGTAGAAAATCCATCTTGTAGCTTTCTTGATCATTTTGGGAAAGTTAGGAGTATTAGCAGTAGCTGAGAATTTTCATCACCGGAAGTAGTCAAAGTAAGTTTAATAGATTAGAGTATGCCCAAGGACTTGGCATAATAGAGGAGATTGTGGTTGGATCTAATTAATGTTTCTCATGTCTTTCAAGCTTGGTTCAGCATGTTATATTTCAGCCATTCGTAAATAGCTTCTCATAAGAGACTCTATTTTGGTTGCTTATGCTTAAAAAATTCATCTAAAACTTGATCTATTAAACAAATGATGTCAATCTTATCATTTCCCTTTTACTGTCCTGTGGAATAGGATTCAAATTTCCTGAAAATAAAGTATTCTAGGTTTGCAATGATTGGATATTTTCTTTCATCTCAACTTGAAGGATGGGGAACTGGTGTATAAGTACACATTTTCTGATATATTAGGTTGCTAATTAGATGGTGAACATCTTTATAATGGACACATGGGAGTGTTGAAGGGAGCAAGTCATCTAGCTTCTTAACATCTGGCCCATGGACACACTTAGGGGCCATTTACCAAAAGCTTACCCTGTAAGCGCTTACCAAGTCACATTACCTTATTGGATTAACATGGCAAGGATCGAGATTCTTACTCGGTAAGAGTGATGGCAAGGACCGAGAGTCTTATCCGGTAAGTGAGGGTGACGACTCTTACCTAGTTACGCTTACCGGGTAAATTGTTGCATACGATGCCGTTTTGATGGATTAAAATCTTTCCCCGTATGGTAAGTGATAGTGTTGAATCTTACTGGTAAGCGCTTGCTGGGTAAGTATTTGGGTAAACGGACCCTTAGTGTTGGTCCATTGGTAGGTAGGGGACTGTAGGCTGCTGAGTTCTGAAGTGTTGGTTAGAAGGTAGTTGATTACATATGTGAATCAGGATTTCTGAAAGACTGTTATATTTCATCGAAAGAGATTGTTTCATCCTAGTCTTTCCTTACCAACTGGCGAACTGCTAACTAAGGCCACTTAAAGTCAAATAATTGCTGGGTTGAGATTGTTTGCTTCACATCTTGATCACTATTGATTATGACCACATTGGCCTTGTAACTTTTAGTTGCTACTCAATAGAATCTGTAAGAGGTCTAAATCCTACATCTGAGCTATAGTTTTTATGTCATTGCGGGTACTTGCAGGAGTGTGCTTTTTATTCAGGCCTGTCTTGATTCTTCATATCATGTATACTCTCTTTGTAATGTGCTTTGTTGCATTCATCACATGTGCAGGTGGGATTGTAGTTTCCAGGATGGTAGCTTGGTTGAGGAGGTGGATGGACACACAGCAATTCTATATCACAGGCTTCAGCTGGATTGGTTTCCAACGTAAAATATTCTTGTCCTTAATGTGTGTGTTTATTCTTGGGTATTAGGTTGCAAAAGGTGCTCATATACACATGGATTTTGATGATTGAAATTGATATTCTAATATCTATATTAGTCAAACATCAACTTTCAGTATTTTATTTAGCTTATTGTTATGCATATTGTTGGGCCATCAGAATGTCTCCAAGTATCTACATTCATTTATCACTAATGGTGTCTATTTTTGGCCCGCAATTGTTTTTGGGCACTTCTTATACACAAGGTGGAAAAAGTTTGTTTGGTTATTTCGTTTTCCATTTCGATTTATCCGTAAATACACGGCTATTGGATTAATGCAAAAAGTCAAAGATCAAGTTTAATTGGATTAATGCAAAAAGTCAAAGATCAAGTTTAATCTGTTTGAAGTCCAAAATAACAGTTTTGGTTATTATTGCAGGTTCGTGTGGCCACGTGACCTTTGTTATGTGCGGTATTGGCGTCGAAATGATGATGGGAGTTATGGTGAGGGCCTGTATTAATATTTGTTGCTTAGATTTTCCAATTTATGCTTCTACATTTTGAGGTATACATGTTATCATGCAGTTGTACTATTTTGTTCAAGGGAGCATGAGAACTGTGGCCCACAACCAGGATATGTCCGTGGTCATATTGAGAGTAAAACTCCTCCTTTCATATAATAAGTTATTTAAGGCTTCAGATCCATGTCATACTTACAATTTTGATTTTATAATCTTGATTTAGGTGGAGGGTTTAATATTTCCCCTCTCAAACCTCGAAATGGAAGGCCCAGATCACAGGTCCAGCATTTAATGCAAATTGATCTAAAGGGATGGGGCGTGGGCTATATTTCATCATTTCAGCAACATTGTCTGCTACAGTTGTTAAATAGTGTTGCTGGTGAGTTTGGTTTCGTAATCACAACACTGTAGGTATTAGAACTGGAATGGCATGGTCCAATGTATCATATAAATAACTTAAATTTTTGTTGTTCCTGCCCATTTTATGGTGAACTAGATTCGCTGAATTGTATATATTAAATGGATTAGTACTTTATCCAATTTGATTTTTGATAATAGGACTGCGGGAATATTTTGCTCAGACTGATGAAAGGATTGTTCCACCAAGAATTCCTGTTATGGTTAATATGGCATCGTGCTCTGTTCCTACGAAGAAGACACAAAAGATCCACTTGACTTCGGTTCATAATCGAAGTCAGTCTCTTGATAATGCTGCAAAAATGATGGATGAATACTCGGATGAGGATGAAGATTTACAAATCCCTGACGAAGAGGTTGGGAATTGATTATTTCTTTTTTGGTTCATTTAATATTATTATATAGATATTCTGTGAATTTGTTTTTCAAACCTTTTCAGGCATACAGAATCGAGCCAGAGACCAAGCGAATTGGTAGGTATTTATGAATATGAATATTTTATTAGAAAGTTTTCTCCATCAAATGCATAACTTTTGAACCGAGGGGGTTTTACTTACGAAGCAATTGACCTTTTAAAGCCATTGAAGAAGAACCTGTCGTTCAAATTGACTTGTCTTGCTTTTCGGGTAATCTTCGGCGAGATGATAACGAAAATGCCCGTGACTGCTGGAGAATATCCGATGGAAACAACTTCAGAGTCCGTAGTAAGCGTTATTGCTACGATAAAAAGTCGAAGGTCTGTTACCGATTGATTCAATCACGTTATTGTTTCTTGAGGCATTAAATTACGTTTCTGAATATCTCATGCTTCCTTTAATTTCTTTGTTGTCAAATGTGCTTGAAGATGCCTGGAGGCAAACATCTTATGGATCTTGTTGCTGTTGACTGGTTTAAAGACACCAAACGAATGGACCATGTTGCTAGACGCCCGGGTTGTGCTGCACAGGTAGGTGTTTAGACTTTATCGGCTACAAATTCGACTTGCATCTTCTTTTTCTTTAGATTAACTGTTCTGTATTTTTATTGTTAAGCTAGCTATTCTCCATTACCTCCGTCCCAAAATAGATGTCCACAATGAAAAAGGCAAACAATTTTGGAAATATGTAATTATTACATTTTTTTAATTAACTAAATAACAATTTTACCTTGATAATGGAGGGGGTAATTAATTTAATCTCTCATAATTAAGGGTAGAATTGGAAAGTAGGCTCTTACTTTTGAAAGTGGACTCTTATTTTGGGACAAACTAAAATAGAAACATTGACACTTATTCTAGGACGGAGGGAGTATTATTTTATGGCTACTTACCACTTTGAAATCCATTTTTATGTTACTTTCTGTATGTGTATATGTTTGGTTGATGAAGTAAATATGTAACATTTCATACTATTTCCTTTTGAAAATGTTATGTAACATATTCAGAATGAATAAGATCTTAGAAAGATTTAGTTCACAGTCACATGTAACGTGATAAGTTTATGCTATTAGGCTACAATAATTGGGATTAGGAAATCGTTCCATTTAGCAGAATCTGAAATTACAACAAAGGATTAACAATCATGGTTTGCATGAGCTTTAGCTAAGCTTGGTTGTAAGACAAAATTCTAAGGGGATTGTCTAAATGATGTTTATACTTTTGAAAAAAAGTTAAGGTGGTAATACATAATTACGGCATATTCTAGGCTTCAAAGTCTTATAGGTTCCAAGGAAATTGGGTGTTTCATCTTGTTACGTTGGTATATCATATATAACCTTTGAGGTTGCGACGGCAATATAATATATGGCAACTATAATAGAGATTGATGTTCAGGACACCTAATTTGTTGTTTTGATGTACAGCTCATATGCCTCATCATTGTATAAGTTCTGAATAGCATCTACTTTGGAATGATAAAATAAAATGTGATATGTACCAATTCAATGCAATTAAAGTTTTTATTTATTTAGAGAAAAGAAGATTTGTGCTATTGTCTTGTTTAAACTTTAAGACTCTTGTGGTAGTCAATTTCAGTTTAGTTTTCTTTTGGGTCTGATGTGTTGCTTATTTGACAATAATGATTTTGTGTGGGTTATTTACTCTTTAAATGTTTGTCATTTCTGTATAGGTTGCCTCTCAAAAAGGACATTTTTGCATGGTGTTCAATCTCCAAGTAAGGTGTTTGAAATGTCAAGATTTTAATATTTTGCATGATGTTTTGGAAAATCCATAACATTCTACTGCTGAAGGTACCTGGATCGACAAACTACAGCATGGTTTTCTATTTTGTGACCAAGGAATTAGCACCTGGCTCTCTCTTGCAACGGTTTGTTGATGGTGATGATGAGTTCCGTAATAGTAGAATGAAGCTCATACCATCAGTTCCCAAGGTAAATGCCAGGTTTAAACTTTGGTTTGTGGATGATCAGTTTTACACTCGGGTCTTGTCCCTGCAGTTGTCGATAACATCATTTCAATTATCTGCCGAAATTGATTTTCCTTTTTATCAATTTTCCTGCAGTTGTCGATAACGTAGATATTTATGCTGCAAATGCTTTTGTCGCCAAAATTGAGCTTATTATGCTAAGACATGAGGCATGGAATTGTAGATATTATGTTAATTGTAAGCTACAAACTCATATATAAAACCAAACAAAATGTACCCGATATATCCCACTCAAGCTACAACCTTGTATAACTTTTTCAACTATGGTTCTTTGTTTGATCACTTGTAATAATTTAAGAGAAGCAACATCTGTCAAAATGGAGGTATAGTAATTTTGTTAAAAGCTAAATATTACACTTTATCTGTATAAGTTGTATTTTGCATTGACTAACGTAGTTGCACACAACCACCATGAAATATTACTAGCATGGAGACTAAGTTTCAACTGGACAATGATGCAGGGGTCCTGGATAGTGCGACAGAGTGTTGGAAGCACCCCTTGTCTTTTGGGAAAAGCGGTTGACTGCAACTATATCCGTGGTACCAATTACTTGGAAGTAATGTCCCTATTCTCTCTTTGCATAATGCATGTAGAACAATACACATACATTTGAGAGAGTAGCACGTTTGGCCAAGCCGGGGGTCTCCATGGAAATAGCTACTCTACCCTTTGAATACATGTCACCCCTCCCAGACCCTGCTTTTGGGCGGGATATCCTGGGTTTTTTTGGTTTGGTTTATTTGAGAGAGTGGCATTTGTTTGAGTGTTATGTGGGTTTGTTTTCTTTCAAGGAGGATGTTGAATTTGTTTTCACTTGGCAGGTTGATGTTGACATTGGTTCTTCTACCGTGGCTAATGGCGTCTTGGGTCTTGTAGTTGGTGTTATCACTAGCCTTGTGGTTGACATGGCTTTCCTTGTACAGGTACGTTAACCATATATGAATTTTGAACTCGAGTTCAAAATTCCATATTTGTGATTTAATACTCTTTGGTCCTTCATTATGGTTTCAAGTTTTACAAAAAGATACAACTATCATCTGGTTTCATGATCAAAGTGGATTCAGTTCATGACATGAGATTGGTTTTATGCTTTATGTTTCTTTATTACCATCCATAGACTTGGGATCACGTAAGAACAATTTTGTAAGGGAGATCATACCTTCACCTACTTTCACATACCTTCAGTCCCTATGAATTTGTTGAAGAGAAGGTATGCATTAGTAGAGGAAGGTATGCGAATGCAGGCGGTGAATGTCTGGTCTCCTTTAAAAAAGACGGAAGTGGCCCTCCTTTACAAAAAATGTGTGATTGGGTCAGTCGGATCAATAGATATCAACGGATCTGAGGTGTCGTCACCAAAACTGGAACCCAACCCACCATCCATAACTATGTGCCTCGTATTTAGCAATATTTGAAATGAGAGCACTAGTTGTAAGCAATAGAACTGGTTTCAATTCAGTTGTTTGGTTCCCATTTGCTTGAGCAGGCAAACACGACTGATGAGTTGCCAGAGCGGCTTATAGGTGCTGTCCGGGTTTCCCATCTAGAGCTATCGTCTGCTATTGTTCCTGAACTGGAGACAGATCCAGAATCATCACAATGAACATTGTTAGTTCCCGTTTTCCCAATGTGGAATTAAAGTTGGTTGTTCCATAAATAGGATTCATTCATTGTTAACCAACTTTTAGGTACAAAAATTTAGCAGCAAATACTGGCAGGCGAGCAGCAAAGAGAGGGAGAGAATGTAAAGAAAGCTGTTAGCTTGAAGAAAAAGAAAATGGGAAGGTGGAAGGAAGGAATGTGACCAAAAAAATCCATTTGAATAGACAAAAGTTGCAAGTGATCCCCTCCACATGCATCTGATGCTGATGATGAAAATAATAAGGAAACATGAAATTTGTATTTATTTTTATACCACATTTGGTACATACATGTGAATGGTTGAAAATTTAGTACATCAAAAAATCTCCGTTTTCAAATTCAGATATATATACTTATGGCCTTACAAAATGTGTCTGAACCATTCTTGAATGGCATCATTATGACTAGGGGTGTTCAAAAACCCGACCAACCCAACCCAACCCAACGTAAAATAACCCAACCCGAAGCAACCAGATGTCTAATCGAATAGTAAAATTGTCAAACCGAAAGTATTGTATTGATATTGGGTTACTATTATTTGAACCCAACCTAACCCAATGAACCCGATATCTTTTTATTTCTTGGATTTAATATAATTGTTGAATTTCTATAAATATATACATTAGACAATTACACTATCACGTATGCTTTTCATATACACATATTTTCAATCTATTCACATCTCTATATAACTCATTCATATATATATATATATATATATATATGTTCAGTAATTGTGAACATATATATGTAAATTGAGAAAATTAACTAAATGTGATATACGCAAGAAATATGGATAAGTTGTATCAAATGGTTGATGATGAAAAAGAAATTATGAGTAGAGAATTAACATATTCAAGGTTAGAATATTTTAATATACCAAAGTATCAACCCGACCAACCTGTACGGGTTAGGTTGTACTTTGGTTTGAGTTGGGTTGAGTTAAGATTTTTCCAAACAGCAAGCAATGGGTTGGGTTAAGATTTTTCCAAACAGCAAACATTGAGTTGGGTTATTCAAATGTCTTCAACCCGATCAACCAAACCTATAAGCACCCCTAATTATGACTGTCCTTTAACGTTAAGTAACATTGCCACGATGATTTTGTCTTTGTCTTGTGCACGTTCAAAGGAAAATATATAGAGAAAGGGGTTCAGGGAAAAACCTTAAAAAATAATAAAAATGAAGGAACATCTTAATAATCATTCATTTGTACGATATTAAAGTTGTTTCTTGGTTTCTTTTCATACTAGATAAATTACTTGTAATGTTTTTCTCAAACAAATCTTGTGTCTATGGTGCTTTATTTGTTTTTGACTTTTGATGTGTGTACAAGTGAGTAAAGCAATAGAGATCTGAATAAGTAAACAAGAACACAGATTCCAACTTTCACATGGCCTACTTTTTATGATATTTTTGGTACCTTTAAAATATATAATATATTAAATCTGACTCTTAACGGTTAAAAAATTTATGTTCTGTACTTGTATATAATAATGATCCTGCCTCCTGAGAGTTCCCATCTCAGCAGCATTATTTAAAAAAACAAAAGAAATTGATGACAAGAGCCACCCTTTTCTACGCTCTATCATCCAAATTTTTTTATTTTATTTATTAAATCCTTTTTTAAATAAAAAAGAGAGATTGCAATCTTTTTTATTTACATAATATATTCCCATTTTGTTTTCTGTATCCAAGAAATAAAATAATTAAATAAAAAGAATTAGGAGGAGGATATATGATTGATTGGCTGTTGGTAAATCACCTTATCTATATTGTATTATAAAACATTTGATAGAAACTTTTAAAAATCAATTTTAATGTATACATTATTGTTTACTAATGCATGTTACTTAAAACTCAAGATTACAAGTAGATTGTGCGTAAGTATAACTTATTAAAACTCCATATTTGAATTCGTGTAATTAACTGCAGATAAAAATAATCAAATACAAGATAAACATCTCATTTTAAATATAAAAAATCTAAAATATAATTAAGATAATTATTGAGTTTTAAAAAATACTTAATTATTATCTTTATAAAATTATTAAACCAAAAATAAATTATTTCATTATTAAATTTAAATTAAATTATAATAAAAAATAAATTAAAGAATTTACATAGAAAAAATGAGAACTTTTAAATAGTTGATTTGATATTAACATTGATATTTTTTTTTCAAATTTATATTTTATTCAAAAATAAAATCATTATTGTTTTATTAAAAACACATAAAATCGTATTATAACATCGGTAGAGACAATAAATAAAATAGAACATTAAAATCGAGATGTATCTTGCTGTATTACGCAAATACTCTCCTTCTAATTAATATTATATATATAAAAAGAAACAATTTAGATTATTTTTATGTACATATATATACCCTCCAGACAAGTTATATAAAGATTTCTCGGTTTTTATTTTTTAGAGGGGTTTTTCCTTAATTCCACACACACACTCTCTCTATATTTTGTTTTCGTTTACTTTTCTCAATCATAAAAAATTATAAGAATTGAAAAGGGAAATGAAAAGACAGGTGATGCGCATCATGTGTGTGAATAAAAGCACATGCAAGTTTATTTTTATATAGCAGTCCCTAGAGATGCCAAAATGGGTCTGGTTCGGTTCGGAACCAGCGGAGGACTGGGGCTGGACCGATTTAGGACCGGCCTCACCCTGGATTGATTGAGATCGGTTTGGAACTGTTGGTTAAGGATTGGTAACGGGTCTGGCCCGATTTTTTTAAAAAAAAAATGTATTTTTAAATTTATTTCTAACTTTTTAAGTGTATTTAATTGAAAATCAATTACAAAATTATAATAAAACATACTCTTTAAGTGTATTTAATTGTCCCAATTGGGACCGTAACTGGGATCATTATTTTGGGACCGAGACCGACTTTGGACCCAGCCCAAGACCAGTTTTTGGCCATATCTACGCTAGTAGGTATACACAGCACACATAAGATCATTTCAATACAAAAAGTAGAATTAAGATATGCAAAGTTTAAAATACTAGGAGTACACATGTGTAGACTTGAAGCATAACATTATGCACATGTGAATTCAAAGGTAGTGTCTAAGGTAGTCTTCCACTTTGCTGTATTTGATATCAGGATACAAAAGCGACGCCTCTTCAACATCAACTCCGTTAATCTCCAAATTTGCTAGACAGCCTTTATAAAAGATGTCGTAGTAATGAGTCCACCCCACTTGCTCCGCATACTCTTTATCTGGAACTCCCCAACACATTTTATAAACCATTAGAAAAAACGACTTCATCCATGTCAATAAGCTTGTAATATATATATATATATATATATATATATACACACACACACACACACATACGTAAGGTGTTAATCATTTGAGAACGGGGTTATTTGCGAGAACCTTGAGATCCAACCACATATATGGGTTCAGTGAGTAATCATATATGGATTTAACATGTGTGGCTACAAATGGATCTCACGGTTTTCATAAAATACAAAGTTCTCCCATGAACAACCCTCTCACACACTCTCTGTCTGTATATATTCAATGTTGCATTTTGGCCACCAAGAACTTATGAAAGAAGAACTACACCATGCAAAGAAATGGCAAAATTAATTCGTATTGAGAAATGGTGTCACCTTTCACGATATTAAGAAATTCTTGTTCCGAGAAAGACGACTTCTTCAGTTGTTTGCCGATGAGCTTCTCCAGAGTCCCACAACTTCCCTTTGTGAAAGAACGTTTGCTGGAGGCCTCAAGTAGATTGTTTTGTTAAGAGTACGGGGATCGTCTATGGTTTTGATCGTATATGCTGCTATGTCATCTTCGTCCACCAATATTGCTACATAAATTAACAAATTCAATCTTGAAACATATACTACTTAACAAGTAATCATTCAATCATACATGGACGATTGAGATTGAGTTGTATTGGTTGTACAAATGTAAATGGTTGCATAATAACTCACCTCTCTCTCTCTCTCTATATATATATATAGGAAAATTTAAACAAGAAAATTAACTATTTAAGAGAACAAGAAAAAAATCATTAATGTACAAAATCACATGTGATTTTACATTAACGTCATAAAAAATGAAAGCAAACGACTTTTGAACAAGTATGATTATATATATATATATGGTTGGATTCACGTGATAAAAGATTTAATCAATATTTTAGAAGAAATATTTAACTAATTTTAATTACCTCACACACACACACACATATATATATATATATATTGTTTTTAAATACGTTTGTGGATCAAAATGTATCATGGAAATAATATTCACAATGTATATCACAATCTACATTTTCTTTATTTTCGTCGTTTTACAAAGGGTATCACTATGTATATTTTTGTTATTTTAGTTGTTTTACAAAGGTATCAAAGTGTACATCTTGTACGTATATTTGGATATCATAGTGAATAATGTTTGAATGTTTTTAACGAGGTTTTTTTAGATATCACAATGTGTATTTTTTGTTTACATAAGGTTCGCCGGATAGAGGATAGAGGAGAAAAGAGATTTTTAAAATCCCTAAATGTCCTTAATTAATATTTTAAGTAAAATTACCATTTTTTTTAAACTTTGATTTGTGGTTAAGATTTAGTGAGTTTTCTCTTGAATGACCCTATATATATATATATATATATAGAGAGAGAGAGAGAGACTTGGGAATATGTGAGACCAACCTGTTTTTGTGAGATCTGTGAGACTACTTTTTTACACTTAAAACTTCATAGCAAAATGCTATTAAGGTAACCTTCATAATGTTTTTGCTATGGATGTTCGGTTTTTTTTTACCTTGACAACATTTTGCAATGAAGTTTCAAGTGTAAAAAAATGGTCTCATGGGTCTCACGAAAACATGCTGGTGTAATGTGAACCCAACCCTATATATATATATATATATATATATATATATATATGAATCATGTAATGATTTTGTACATTAACAACCATTTTCTTGTTTCATTAAATAGTTAGCATTCTCGTTTGATTTTACCCCCTCTCTCTCTCTATATATATGTATATATAAGAGTCCTAGTTACAACTTACCCTTTTGATTGCCATCTCCAAGCAAGACTACGTACTCCTTTGAAGGAAGAATGTGACCAGGTTGACACAGTCCTCCAATAAAGTAACCAGCGAAGCAGTTTGCAGATACGTATGTGAATGGGATACCTGCATCTTCAATCGCTTTTCTTACCACCATTTTGTCATCAAAGGCCACTCGTCCTGGTTCCATTGCATCGGCCATTCTTGCTGGATCCATACCAAACTCCGATGGCAAAAACCTCTGATAAATACCATTAATATCATTAGCCAAATGCCCACACACACACACACACACACACACACATA